ACATATAATATCACATATTACAATATCACAACTTTCACTAAAGTAAAAACTCAATTATTAAGATTTTATTTGAAAATATTTTTCTATTTCTTTAACTTTTGATTTTTTTATCATTTTATTATCTTAAAAATATATAAAATATTAATTAAAATAAATATAAAATATATTTTATATATTTGTATAATATTAAAATGGCAAAAAAAAATGTACCGCTATAATATTGGGTTAACATTTCCAAGAGAATCTAAATGAAACGTAAGATGGTAAGATGCTTTCAAATTATATCGGATTATACTATATAAATTATTAAATAAAATTAAATCTTCTAATATTAAAAGTTTTTTTTAATAATTTTTATTTTATAATTTAATATAATTTAAATTGAAAAACAAAATTCCCATATTTTTTTCCATACATATAAGGAATCAAATCTATCAATTAGATTCTAACTCCTTTGGAACATGATTCCCCCATCAATATATGGCTCAAAATATTGTACTTATAATTTTAATAATTACAAAACACATTTGAGTGATTAATTAATTTATTTAAGTGTGCAATTAAGTTGCTAAAAGATTGCAAGTAAACTTGAACTACACTAAAAATAGACCAAAAGGATTGAAAATGTGCAGAGAGTCGGCTCTTAAAAGCTGCAGCCGGCTCTGATGAAATGGAAGTATAGAGAGCCAGCTCTGAAAGCTGCAACCGGCTCTATGGGTAAAGATTTAAAGGTTCGTTGTTTGGCGCACACGGAGAAAGGACGCAGAACCGGCTCTAACTTTGCAGCCGGTTGTAAGGGTGCATTTAATGCAAAACGATCGACTTATTTGAAGAATAATTAATATTGTTAAAGTTGAAATATCAGAGCCGGCTCAAGGCTTTGCAACCGATTGTAGAAGAAAACAGAATGTGCAGGAACCCACAAAGCTGGTTGCAGAACTTTTAAGCTGGCTCTATGAAAAAAAACAAAATGCAGGAATCCCGTAAAGTCGGCTGCAGAAATGGTGAAGAGCCGGCTCTAGGAAGTTAAGCCGGCTCTCCTGACAATCCTGCAACTCGAGTTTTGCGTCCTGCAGAGCATTTAATGACTAGAAACGGCTATTTTCGAGTAAGGGGCTATAAATATGGTTGGTAATAGATTTGAAGAAGTTTAGAGAATATTGTATTGAATACCTTTACCTACCAACTTGTGCTTTAACTTGAGATTTTGATCTTTGAGAGATCTTTATTTGTAATCCTCTTCTTATTCTATTTGTGAGTAATCTTGGGGGTGTGACTATTCCTTTAAGAGTGATTTGTAGAGAGGATTGTTTGGGTTTAACTTGTAAAGGGGTGAGATTTGAGAGAAACACCCTTATTTTTGTAAAAGAATTGAGTGGCTCATTTAACCCACCCTTGTTGTTGTTAGTGGGAGTGTGGAGAAAATCCTTGGTAAGTGAAACCAAGGCAGAGAACTAGGCTCCAAGTAGTTGGACCGAACCTCTATAAATCATTGAGCAAGCTCTTCTTCTCTACTCTCTTTAATTTTGGTTTTGTGGTTGCAAAAATGAGAGAATTTTTAGAACTCCAATTCACCCCCTTCTTACAGTACATTGAGTCAACACAAAACATAAGTTGGAATAATGTTATTGTCACATCATCAATTACTAATATCATATTTTTTTAATTAATTATTTTATCTTTTAAATTATTTTTCTGATCTTGATTGCATAATGAAGATAATTATCTCTAATTTTTTATACTACTCCACCCATATGTCATGCGACTCGAATTCAGGATCTTTTATTTCAAAAGGAATAAGATAACCACTGAATTATTTAAGTAGTTGACATATCTTTTAATTTATTAAGAAATAAAAAAATATAAATTTTTAAGAAAAAATGTAATATAAAAATATAATAGACAATTAAATTAAAAAGAGTATAGCATTAATTATTTAAAATGTAACAATAATCTCAACCATGAGATTGTGATTATATATTGTACTTGTAAACTTATGTAGAAAATTTTTTAAAAATTATACAATTTTAAATAATTTTTAATAAAATATCTTAATTTTTAAAATAAGAATAAGATGATTTTAATTTTTTCTCATATATTTTATGAAATGATATGGTTTTAAGTGTTTTTTATTTAATTTTTTACAAGTTTAGTTAATAAATATTAATATCATATAATGTAATGATATATTATTTTTAAATTATACAACTTAAATTATTAAATACTAAATGTAAAAGTTATTTTTATTGAAATGGTTGTGGTTTTACGATTTAAAATAGAGAACTTCAGCTAATATTTGCTCTTAGTATTAAAAATTATCTTAATATTTGAGATTTTCTATTTTTTAATTGTTCTACAATTATATTAATTATAAAAAAATTCATAGATAAAACAATGTAAAAAAAAAGTAATTAAAAATAAGTTAACTTATTAGTGCTTTGCCTTTTAAAATTAGTAGAGATAAAATTGAACCACGTGCTCGATTAACTTTATTTGTAACTTACTTACAAACACTAATCTTTCTTTTGTAAAAGAAAAAAAAAAATTCATCTCTAGCTCAAAGCATTTTCTTATTTTATTTTATTTTATTTATTTTTTGGCCGAAAGCACAAAGCATTTTCAAACTTAATAGACAGAAGCATACCATCTCAAACATGCTTATTTAACATTCTTGCTATACAATATGAGGCTATCATTATTTGTATATTGTTAAGACCTACGGCTTGTTGTTAGTGTAATGGCTATTTTTTGATTAAATTATAAAATAAGTTAAAATTATTAAAAAATTAAAAATAACTAAACCTTAATCTTTAATTTTCTTTTATATTAACAAATAATAAAAAAATACATATTTTTTTAAAAAATAAAAAGAATACAGATTCTCATTCATCTTTTAATTTAATACAAAATTATTACACCCCCTAAATCCCTAAAAAATTTCTATAATTTAATTTAATTTTATAATTCAACTAAAAATAATCAAAAACTGACTTAAGAGTCACTCATAAATTAAAAGAGCAACAACCCCCACACGGGATTAAAAGACACCCAATCAAATAAAAATAAAGTAGCCAAGTAGAGGAGCAACCCTTGAAAAAAATTGTGCAAGAACAAAAAGAAAGAACAAGCAGCAGAAACAACTCCCTAGTCCCTACAATAACATAGGGTTGAACTCTAAATAATATCTCCAAGTAATTAAATTTTTAAGAGATTTTAAATTAAAGATTTTAAGATAAAATGAAAAGAACTAATGAACATAATTATTTTTATTTATATAGTTTATCATCTAATATAACAAAAGAAAAATAACATAGGGTTGAAGGGCAACTCAAACAAATACAGATTAAGAATGGGCAACTTGAATTGAGACCAAATTTGAAACAACAGTAACACAGGGGATTATCAGAAATGCTGCAAAACCGGTGCTGGCTAATATTATTAATTTTAATTAATAATTATAACCATTAATTATTAATAAATTTTATGAACTATCAATTAATTATCACAACTATTGACTTTTCTTAACGTTGAAATCAAATATAGACAAAAATTTTAATTTGATTTCTTTTAGAAAAATGATTTTAGAACAATTTTTTTGTATTATTATTTTTTTATAATCTTGTGTGTTATTTAAATTATTGATTCTTTTTATTCATTTAGAATTTATAATATTGAATGAATTTACTCATGTAATAATATGTAAAAATTATATAAAAATAGTATAAAAAAGTTATCTATATATCACCATCCTTTCTTTTTAATAGAAAAGTAGATATGATGCCAATAACCTTAATAATTCAATGATAGTCTCATTTTGTTAGAAGTAAGAGATTCTAAACTTGAATCATATGATATGCAAGTGAGATGAGACAAGAGATGAAAAAGGGTTACCTTCCGAAACGCAACAAACCCAAAAAGAGAAAAGAAAAAAGAAAAGTGGACATGATGCACTTTACTAAACCTTAAATAGGATAAAAAGAACAAATTCCTTGACATTAGCATTCAGCTACCTATGGATAATAGATAAAAGTAATAAAATAATAATAAATGAGATCAAAAATTAAAATTAAAATTTAAGAGTTATGTTATTTAAAATATTACAATGTAGATTTTATATTATGTAATACTTATCTTTTTTTAATTATAATATTATATACATTAATTAATTTAATAATGCAATCCTCATATTTTAATTCTAAATTTTTGTTCTCCTAATCATTACTCAAAGTAGTACATTGCATGAAAGTAGTACACTGCACGAAGAATAAAGGCTTGTTTGATATAATGATGAAAATTCAATAGATAATGAGTAATGGATAGTGAATTGTGATAGCAAGTAATAAGTGGTGATTAATGAATAATGCGTGACAGATAACAAAAACGGATGGTGGATAATGGATAACGATAACGATAACGTATAATAGATAATAGATAGTAGATAGAAGACTTGATTAATATTTATACAATAATTAATAATTTTTGTTTAAAATTAAATGATTAATAAAAACATATTTTAAAATAATTAAGTGTATTTTTTTATATTTTTTATTATTAAAATTATTAATTTTATAAAAATAAAAATAATAAATAAATAAATAATAGTATAATCATATATTAATTTTTATTTTTAATAAAAAAAATTCTATTAGTTTTAAATATAGTATACAAAATTTTAATCTCTCTATCTAATTAGTGAATTTAGTTTATTAAGCTAATATATTTTTATGATAAATTAATGTAAAAATAAAAATATAATAATTACTTAGCATTATTAAAGACAAAAAATAAAATTAAAACTAATTAGATAAATATTAATTAATAATCGTAACAAAAAATTAAAAAATTAAAAATGAAAAATATGTTAATAAAATTAAAAATTTTCAATCTACGGTTTAGTACAAAAAATTATCTTAAATAATTTTTTTAATATACTAATGATTTATACCTCAATCACTATCTATTAATTTTCAATTATTAAATAAAAAATTTTACTAAACACCTAACTTATAATAATTTTCAAATAAATAAATTTATCAAATATCTATCAAAAACTACTAAATTTTACTTCAAAACCACTAGGCCCTCGACTGGTCTACAATATTCTCTTCCTGTGGCGAAAAATCCGGTCGACCCGATAAAAAATTTGTCTGGCCGGACCTAAAGGAAACGGTGCGTTTCACTGAGAATGAGTATATGCCCGTGAAGCGGGAGCGGTGAACCCATCTCCTCTCTGAGCAACAAACTGAAATTCCTTTCTCCTTTACCAATTGAAACTCCAAACTCAAAACTTGCCGGAAGTCATTCTTCTCCGCCCTCAATCGACGACCAAGGGTCCGGTTTGAATCCTCCTCCGACCTGATAAAAAGCTATATATTTCTTTCTAGCCAGGGAGGAAGGTGGGATCTGGGTTTGAAGCCAAAGAGCAGAGATAATGAGTTACTTGTTGACGACGCTGACGAAGAAGAAAGAGATAGACACCATCATCAGAGACACAATCGACAAGGTCCTTGTCCTCCGCTTCGGCCGTCCCACCGACTCTCTCTGTCTCCAGCTCGACGACATCCTCGCCAAAACGGCGCCTGTGCTATCTAAGTTCGCAACTGTGGCTCTGGTTGATATTGATTCCCCAGATGTTCAGGTTTACGTCAAGTACTTCGACATCACTCTCATTCCTTCCACCGTTTTCTTCTTCAATGCCCATCACATGAAAATGGATTCTGGGTATTTCCTTCCTGCCCCTTTGCTCTTCAATTCCCAAACTTCCATATTCAATCGAATAATTGCGCTTAATAATCGAGAATCAGACGTTTTTTCATTTAATTAGACTCGTATTGCTAAAATTTTACATATAAATTACACTTCGTTTGAAGAATAAGTGGAAAATATTTTTCCTTTCATGTAGAGATTAGGTTTTTTTCTTGATTTTGATGTATGGGTTAAATTAAGAATCAAGTAAGAAGTGTTTTTTAGCTGGTATTTTTGAGAAATTGATTTATTGTTAGCTAAGTTTGTTCACTTTTGTTGGAAAGGGCTTCGGATCTTTTACCGAGTGTCTTTGTTACATGCTGATTTTCAATATTTTCAGGACTGCTGATCACACTAAATGGGTGGGGGCTTTTCACGAAAAGCAGGATTTTGTTGACGTTGTTGAGGTATGTATGCCTTCTGTTTTTGGTTCCTGACTGATACAATTTTTATTATTGTAGTGTTGTCTATCCTGCTCCAATGGGTTCATCCTCTTCTGTGGTTCATTTGCGCTGAATTACTAATTTGAAACTCTAAATTACTACTGTTTAATTAGCCAAAAAACTTTTTTTAAAAAAGTTATTTACTTATATTCTTCGGAAGTTTTGTAAAACTCTTTTTGATGAAAAGTTTTGCAGAACTTTTAGATGTTATAATTTGTTGTAGTTATGAGATTGGAAGAAGTATCTTTTGCATGTGGTCACTGGTAGGTATTTTTAGCTGTCTTATCATCCTTGATATCTAGTTTTTTAAAACTGAGCTATAATTCCTTTTCGTTGTCTGGATTATTTGAGCTTTACATTAAAAAAAAGAAAAGGAAAAAAAGAAAAGATTATTTGAAGAGAATGTAAAAGAATTTCTTTTAATAGAATAAGTGAGGAACAAGAGTGAGAGAATGAAGTCCTGGCTAAAAGCATCAATGTCTCTGGTGAATGATCATTATTGCAGGTTGGAGAGCAGATACTTGAGTATATAATGTTTGCTTTATAAGATCTAACCTTCAAAGTATGAGTTTGATAATGTATAGATAACGGCCAAAAAAATTGTATAGATAGACCCTTCCTGACCCATCTAGGAAAATTTAGTTCCTGAGTTGCCCTCTTCCCCTTATCTGTTCAAATGAAAAAAGATTATGAAACTACTAGTCTATCTCAACAGATTAACAGAAGTTGAAACTACTCTTCCATCAAAAAATGAAAAGTTGAAAGTTGAAACTACCCAGTTTTCATTGAGCATGTGGTTTATGTGCTGGCTAACCCATGTGGGATGCCTTATTTATGGTTCTCATTAGCTTCTACATTCTTAATAATATTGGCTACAAGCCTATAACCTTTTTTTTTTTTTCAATCGCATATGAAAGCACTTAATGATAAAACAAGAATTTTTCACTGAGGGAAGTTATAGCGGCATACTAATAATTGTTCCTTTTTATTCAAATGTTGGATCCTTTGAAAAGTCTAATGCTATGGAGATTTAAGAGAACCTATTTACTTTTTTATTTATGGTATGCCTCATGAATGTGATACTCGCTTTAGAACATATGAAATTAGCAATTTTCGGTTGAGGTATCTGAATTTAAGTTGAATGCTGTTGTATGTATTTCTACACGAACATTCTTAGATTAGCTTCCCTAGCGGATTGAGTTGAAGTTGTATTTTGCAACTCGTGTCTGATGGACGTATGCCTGTCACTGCAGACTCATTTCTTTCTCCATCCTTGCAGGCAATATTTAGGGGGGCCATGAAAGGCAAGCTGATTGTAAATTGCCCCTTGCCCCAAGAGAGAATACCTAAATATCAGCTGCTTTACAAGGATGTCTAGGATAGGAAACTGTTGCAGCTCGAAATTGTTGCTACTTAGTTCCAACGTATCGCTCAAAGAAGATATTGACATTAGCATCTGCAAAAGCTGTAAATTTATTATTATTATATTTATAGACAGTGGTAAGAACTTGGTTGTTCCTTATAGAAAAGTAAGGTAGAGTTTGCGCTAATAATCATTGATAGAGAGACGAGACCTTTATTAATTATAGAATTCTCTATCCCATAAACAGTTTACAATATATGGCAATTCATTCTAGATATCAATTATTTTGTCCCTCTTATCAGAGTAACAATTATTTTTCAAGTCAAATGAGTGGAACTGCATCATTTCATGATTTTCAGTATGCAGCATTACTTGAAAAA